GCCTCGTTCTACTGATGGGATTATATTGGACAAAGTCCCAACAACTAAACGGCAAACATCTTCAGACACCAAGAAAGGTAGGGTTAAAGATTAATCATTCCCTTTACCTTTAAAATAACTACTCAGAAGGGCCAGTAGTAGTAGGAGGGCAAGAAGCATCGTGTTAATGAGGCTTGGTGCCGCAACATTACACGTCAGGCAACCCTCATTAGCAAAACATTTATATAGATTAAGTCGATTGAATATGTAGTGGTGTTCATCAGAAGAACAACTGTGTCATTCATTTACGTGCGGAATGATCTTTATAGGGGGTTTCAAAAATTTAATCGGCACAAACATCGCGCTTCTGTTATTTGTCTGTCTTCTTATTTTCTTTTAGTTGTTCGGAAATGGCGTAAAGATTGGCGCTGTGGAGACGGTTACACTACAGCAGACGGGAGGACCGCTGAGTGTGACCCTCACAGTAACGGCCCGTGCTGCTCACCGGGCCACTGGTGTGGAAACACTGCGGATCACTGTGACTGTGCGGGCTGTGTGGACTACCGTAACACAGCAGGTGTCCGATCATTCATAACTTTGTTCCTCTGTATGTATGTGTGTGTGTGTGTGTGTGTGTGTGTGTGTGAGTGCATCACGGTGTGTGTATATGTGCGTGTGTGTGTGTGTGTGTGTGTGTGTGCGCGCGTGTGTGTATGTGTGTGTATGTTTGTGTGCGTGTATGTGTATGTGTATGTGTGCATGTATGTGTGTGCGTGTATGTGTGCATGTATAAGTGTGTGTGTGTGTGTGTGTGTGTGAGTGTATGTGTATGTGTGCATGTTTGTGTGTGTGCGTGTATGTGTATGTGTATGTGTGCATGTATATGTGTGTGTGTATGTGTGCATGTATATGTGTGTGTGTGTGTGTGTGTGTGTGTGTGTGTGTGTGTGTGTATGTGTGTGTGCCTATGCTCGAAACCTACATACATTGATTTAAGTAAAACTGTTCTAGAAAACCCTATTGAATGTTTTCATTGAAAAATGTTTTCTTTAAGCCCCAATTACGTTAGGTAGTCAGGTAGTCTAAACATCCATGTGATGCTTCCCATTAACAAGTATTCTCAAAATGATAATGGCTATATTCGGTTGTTATACGAGTAGCAGCTGACAAGGGCTTATCACACCGTATACAGGCTGGTTATTAATCCTTGCCTACCTGCCTAAGTGCCCAGGCCAGGTACTGGCCCCTTGCTCCCCTCCGTCAGGTTCCTCCAACCAGTTATGTCAAGGGCGATAGCCTCAGCTACACTTAGAGTAATCCCTGTGTCACTCTGGATCTGATCTTTCCACCTCTTGCATTTTTGGGTGGTCTTCCCCGGGGTCTAGGGTTTAGGAAGTCCTGGTGGTATGCCTTATAAACTAGGGTGTTTGCCGGTCTTCGCATAACATGCCCAAACCATCTGAGCCTTCTAGTGCGTATCCTGTCAGTGATGGTTTGTTCTGCCCCAAGTCTTGACCGGATTTCTGCATTTGGGATGCGGTCCCGCAGGGTGATGCAGAGTATCGCTCTTAAGCATCTCATTTCAAAGGATAACAGGAGAAGTTCATCCGATTTTATCAGGGTCCATGTTTCACATGCATATGTAGCAATTGGCAGGATAAGTGCTTGAAAAAAATTAATCCTTAATTTCCTTTAAATGTTTCATTACATGTAATATATTGTTTCTAGCATCTTGTTCTGGAGGTTACAAAATGTTTCGACAAACCTGCTACAAGGAGTTTGGTTCCTTGAAGACCTTCTGGGCCGCAAAACATCATTGCCAGCGCGATGGCGGCACCCTCGCCATGCCTAAAGACGAGGCTACGGACAGATTCCTCGCAGATCTCGCGGCCCATGCCCACCCGAGGTTTGGCCGAAGAGGTGTCTTCTTTGGACTCCATGATCAGTACAAAGAAGGAAGTTTCGAGTGGCTTGATGGCACCAAACTTGGGGGCTTCAACTCGTGGAAACGGGGAGAACCGAATGACAAATCCCGCAATGAAGACTGTGTCGCCTACGTACAAGCCGGTAGGCAAAGGAAGTGGAATGACTTCGACTGTACCCGATGGGAATACTTCTTATGCCAAAAGGCACCAGGTACTTCACATATGTATACCATCTTAACGGTCCAAACTATAGGCATCACTGTTATCAGCTTCAACTTAATCATGTTCATAAACGCAACGATGATTTTTCATGTATTCAGTATTATGATGATGATATAGCCGGGTAACGTTGACCAATCATTAAGGCTCCATTCCACATTCCTTTTGACGCCGTGATATCACAAATAGAGTCAAACCCGGAACAATCCAATAATCACTCGCATATGACCTCGGGTGACCCAAAATTCTGTTTAAAAAAATTAAAAAATAACTTGAGTTATGTTTCAATGACCTCGGGTAACTCCCATAAGAACACATGTTCCCTGTCAATGACCCAAATAGAACATAACCCTTCCCCTCTGTCCTCAGGTGACTCCATATGAAACGTTCTATTTAAGTTTTATGCATGTGTTATACAGGAATGTGTCACTCTTTACTGTGTAAGTTTTGATTGGCTATATGATAATAGCGTTAATGGCCCGTCCTTTCTCGGTGAATATGTTGTGATAAAGCCTATCTAGCTGCTATAACCACCT